TAAGGTTTGAAACTGTTTAACGAATTGTTCTGTAACAGTAAATGGATCTGTTGTACTCTTGTATGTGAATTGGTGTGTGTGGTAACCGCATTTACATTTTAGAGATACTTGCACAGAGTAAATGTCAATTTAGTCCGGAGACGAGTGTACAAAGTAGATTGATGCAGTTATTGAACTTTGTATTATGATGTTCAAGATTCTTAAATTGGATAAATTGCTGATTAATAGTTTCATATCGGGGCTTTCAACGTTGTAATATGACTCGATGACTGGATTCTAATGCCATGAAACTTTGTTTGGATAATAAATTTTTGTACAAAGAATATTTATAGGATATAATTTGAAGTAATTTGCCTGCTGATTTATGCCTAATGTTTTAATAATATATTTTTAAAGAAATCCATTTAAGAAGCCTCTAATATGTATATACCTATGTATTTAACGTAAACTCTTTGACTGACGTAAACAAGTTGTTATTATTATCACTGGCGGTTCCTTATTAGCGATTATTATTATTAGCACTTTGCACAATTTTCATCCCTTATTTCATTAGTTCTATTTCAGCTCTTTCTAGATTATTTTTTATTAAAAGATCATACGCCTCATTACACAATCTATCATAACTTCAAATTCCATTAAGGTCTATTCAACCGTTTTACTAGAAAAGTTAATTAAATTAAATAAACAAGAATTCAATTCATTTAAAAATAAATCTTTTGTAGTATAATCAGAGCAGAGTTGCTTCTACCAGCAGCCGAGTTCACACGATCTCATTACGGTACAGCGGCGGTATCAACAGCGGTAGACAATTTATTTCTAGAGAATGCCATAATCCGTGTCTGACATTTAGGAGCTTACGGGAAATGTGTAAATGTCACCATTGTATCATTTGGACTGTACAAATTAAAGTTCTAATTGAAAGCATTTGGATTTACATAATCGTTAATGTGCTAATTGTTCACTCCTACATTATTAACAGTCCGTACTCAATACTAATATTATAAATGAGAAAATGTGTCTGTCTGTCTGTATATTTATTATTTTTTCACATTTGACCGGATCCTAATGAAATTAGACAACGAAAGAGTTTGTAATACGAGGACGTACACCGATTATCATTTAATAAAAGAATCAGACGAAGTTACGGGAAACAGCTAGTATAAAAAACTATATCATAGTCATGTTTTTTTAATTGTCAATAACTTCATAATATTAAAATAGGTTACCTACTTATCACAAAGGCATTGCATCCATCTATATCTTTTCTTTCTTTAATATATTAAAAAATCGTTTTATTTAAATAAAGATTATAACTAATGGGTTTACCGTTGTGGGTTTTAGTTTAACTAGAGGTTAATTAACTTTATCAAAATATTTTCCTAAATGTCTGGTATTACGTTAACCGATTTAAGTACTACGAATTAACTAGTCGGACCGTTAGCGGAAGTAGGATGGTAAGAGTAATTGACCAAACCGTCTACTCGAGTTTTATATGCAGATATACTAATCTCGTTTAATAGGTTCCGTAAAGGTACTGTTACATTATCATAACACAAAAATACCAAAGTCTATACTAATATTTAAAAATAATGATATGTCTTTCTTTTTGTTTGTTTAATAGACTAAACGGACTAAACGGCTGAAAGTATCTTAATGAAGTTTTTTTCGTAATCATTAATTGTATCACTAACATGGACATATTTTTCATAACAAAATAATTATATTTTGTTATCCTATCTAAACGATAGGGAATAAAATTCTGGAACCTTTGAAACCAATATAGTTTCTGAAATTCAATAGGATGGGTTATCTAAATTCATGCTCATTCTATCATCATCCACTAGTGCAACATTTAATTAATAAATCATTCAATCAAAATGTTGTTCATATATGTCTAAGTATATAGTATATTAAGTAAAATCTGTTGTACTCATAAATATATTTTTATATTAAATAAATAAGAATCGACCATAAAACTAACCTGGTGGTTAGCGACAAAAAACTTGCGATTTCACCATAATCAGTGACAATATTTTAAGATTCTACTAAGTTTCCAACTTCCAAGAAAAGATGAATAAATTACTCATCTTGTTTTGATTACTCAAACAATAACATATCTACATTGTATCACATATCTAACCATATATGTCTATGTCTATCTACACTAACATTATACTGAGAAAAGATTTGTTTTATTATTACTTTATTATATTTTCCAGTTTATTAATATCAATAATATAATATTTATATAAACTCAAAAATAACTTAAGCGGTTTCAAATATTATTAGACTTATAAAAGCTGCATTATTAGCGAATAATTTCGGCTATATTTTATTTTCAAGAAGTACATTTGGCAGTACTACACGTAATTTTGATTTAAAAACCAAAGTACTCCTCTCCAAATCAATTTAAAAGCCTTACAAAAGCGAGTTTTCTAACTAAAACTTATCAAACATAAAATAAAATAGCACAGTTTAGAAAATCTTTGTTTTTCTCCAGTAGGTTATTGAAATAAAGATTCCTCGCGATGTCAGGGCGGGTCGCTAGTATACAAATTGTGCTACAATATTGAAGGAAGTCACACCCTTTGTTGTGACTCATAAATCTGTAGATTGTGAACTTTCGTCGATCACAACGCGTGGTTCCGATGGCTGAGTTCAAAAACCCATTATGTAGAACATTATGAAGAGCCATTGTCTCGGCTGAATGGCCCGGCACAATATCTTACGAAATTTTCCTAAAAAACCACCAACGTATTATAAATTTGTATTACGTCCATTATCTGATTCCGGCTCCTGTTAAGATCCATTGTTTTTTTTTCCATTCTAAACTTCGTTAAAACATTTATACTGTCTGCATGTTTGTGTGTATCTGTTTTTATCAATGGATTCAAATCGTCGTATATTTTTCGTTGTCTTGCTTTTGAATATGTACATTATTTCGCTAAGAAAACATATATTTTTATTGTTGTTCGTTTTTCTAGAAGATTGCTATTGGTAGTATATGTATTTAAATTAATTATACTCACATTTTATTGTAATCTTAGTCACAAAACACGATTTTGTGTCCTACACTATTATATTCCTCTATTTAGATTATTTATTTAAATAAATATTTAGATTTGTATAAAATTTATATGTTGTATATATTTTATGCTACATCTTAAAGCATCGAATACGTTCATGAAAAGTTGACACTAGAAAATTCCACAAAATTAACTAATGTATTGATTATTTTGTATTTAATTACTGTTGTTGCATTCATGACTGAATTTGTTTTAACTGAATACATTAGGCCGTTAGCTTATTTGCCAGCTTGTTAACCAGTAACATAAAAAGTGGGACACCACTTCAATAGTTGTAATACTTTTCTAGTGGCTTTAGTTTTTATAAATAAGAGGTATTATCGATTCGCCTAAGGCTTCACAGAGTCTATGTCTCTTCTCAATCGTGAGTGACCTTTAATTGCCTCACAACTCGATCAACCAGTTAATCAAATCTCAAAGTGCTTTCATTTTACACTATCTCAAATCTATAAATTAAAGGCAATAAAAACGATTCCACAATCGTCCAACAATACATATTTATATTTCGCACAATCTCTTAAAAATCGTGAGCCATTAAACGCTAAGAACAAGTGATCTCTCATTAATAATACTCTCACTAAAGCCTTACCTATTATTACAATCTATTCATGCACGACTTATGTAACACCAAATTATCAGAGTATGTTAACATCCATTGTGTTGTCTACGTTAATCTACATAAGTATAGGTATTAATTCGTCTTTCAAAACGTTTCTGTAAAAAGCTGATGTGGTTTCGACAGAACGCACTGACAAATATACCAGCATCATTGGGACGGCATACGAATAAATCGGTATTTTCAATACAATAAGATGTACGTACACGATTTTGTACGAGTTTTTTTTTAGTAGAGGCGATGGCACAAGTGTCTCGGTGTCTTTTGTTTTGTAAATCTTTATTGAACGAAACAAAGACTCCTTCGGATTGCATTTATGGTACTCCACTCAGATTTTTACCTTCTATATCAACCTTTTGACTTAAAGCAATATGAGTAAATCAAAAATTAACATTATGCTAATAAATTATCAGACATCCACGCGGTTGTATCTCGGATACCAACAAAAGAATTTTCAAATGACCGTTACGATCCCAAATGAGCAATTTATCCTTATATCTTTATAAGCGCTTGCAGCCAATTCATTCAAAGGACTTAAAAATCAACAAAAACCGGTGATACTTAAAAAAAGAGTTGAAACCACAAAAGCACTTTCGTGATGCAATGTACATCGTAGTCAGCGATCACTCACAATAGACTCTCCGCAGTGACTTGGAGAAAACATTGATTAATTACCATAATAATTTATTTGATACTCCAAAACTTGATACGGGGAGGGGCCGCTAGCTCGACCCGCACGTTTAAGTCCAATTCGAACCAAAAAACACAGTGAATACAGACTAAAACGTAAACGCGCATGATTCGGCCGAACGGACTACAACGGATATGATTTTAAATATTTTTCTGTATGATGAAAACAAAACATTGTTATTTCAATATGATGCATGGAGGTGATTTGGCTGTTTCAAACAAAAGAATAAGTTTGATGGAATAGGCATTGTTGAATGTATCGTTAGTGGGATTGTTGTATTTAATAAATATTATGCATTCTCGGCTTTCTCCTCTTAACATTAACCTAGCTAGATTTCGTCAGCCACTATTTAATTCTCCTGAAATACTTTAATACTTTTACATTTATATCCATTTATAAATGTGAAAGTATTAAAGTATTTCAGTTATAAATAGCAACAATACCACTAAACGTACACTAGATATGAAATTGTTACCGTCTTTTTGTTCTACCAACCTGGTAGGGGTATTGGAGATATTACGCATTCAAAAGTAGATACCAAAATGTTGTCACATTATCCAAAATAATTTGTTTTGAAATTGTAATAAATAGTTTTAATTTTTTCCAGGTCTATTGTCGGCATTGAATCATTTGGATCAAGCTCGCAAGAATTCTCTCCAGTCGACTGTCGACTACTCTAGATATGTTAAAAGGTTGGTTTTAGATAATTGTTTAATTTATACAGTTGGCTTTATTATATACCTACTCATATTATATAATCCAATTATCTTTTCTAGTAACAACAATAACAGCGTATATTTTGATATAATTATTTCAATGGATGAATTAGTACTTTATATTTAAACTCTCCTTAGACTTTGCATGACTACGCAAAGGAGATTTGCTTATTTAACAATTTTAATGTAACTCTAACATTAACCGACTTAGAGCAAGAAAAGTCACGCGAACGAAGACTAGGTAGTATTTTTATAAAAAAAGTTAATAGTAGTTAATACTGTGTTACATTGAAATAATTTTATTTATTTAAAGTACTCTTTAATGGTAAATCTATATCATAAGATTACACTATCATAGTGGCGAGAATTGGATAGGTTCACCTTTAGAAAACAGAATTTGCGTTATCCTCTATGTTTAATAGACGTTTTACAGCAGTGTTTCCCAACCTTTCTGCGCCTGTGGAATATAGGCCCCACGTTGAGAAACAGTTGTTTATAGACATATTCAATATTTCTTTTAAATCCTCAGGTACAGCTCAACATTGGAATGTGGTTCGTCATACTGCAAAGATCTTGGTTACCGAGAGCATTTCCACTGCATGGACTGCACCGCCAGGGTGTTCTGCAAGAAGGAAGAGATGATCAGGCACTTCAAGGTATATCTCCTCTTACTTAAAATCACATTTGTAAACAGGGGAATTATTTAAAAGAACAACACGCAAGTTTCTTGGTCGTTTTTCTTATGATGAGACAGATTTCCGAATGAGCGGTAAATTAAAAAAGTATATAATGACTATTTAAAAGTGCAATTATATCCGACAGGTAGGAGTTAGCCTTCAGTCACTCCATAAGTCCTTTCACAGGTTTGAAGTGCCATTTGCACTCCTATCATTCAGTGAAGCTGTAAAGACAAGACAACATCAGAATAGTTGGAAAAATTAAAAAGAAATGTGTCGACCAGAAAAACCACGATACTAGTGTTACTTTTTTGAATTACATCAGTTAATTGTATATTTCCAGTGGCACAAGAAACGCGACGAGTCTCTAGCTCACGGCTTTATGAGGTATTCACCACTTGATGATTGTTCGGAACGATTCAACGAGTGCCCACATAACAGGAGTCAAACCCACTACCACTGCATACAAGAAGGCTGTGATAAGGTATGCACAATATACTAGTAGAGCGTAGATAATTTCGATAAGACGGTCCTTGCAGAGATTGCATCGTCAAATTCCTTGAATCGGAACAATACAACAGCTTTATTGATTTTTTTTAATGTTCACTTTTATTATATAACTGGAATGGCAAACAAGCAGACAGTTCTAATGGTAAGTGGTAACCGTCGCCTATACATGAACCGGCCAACTGATGGTAAATGGTAATATACATGAACGTCGCCTATGTACATGAAGAGCACTTCGGGTATCAATCACGTCATCAAGCATTGCTATTCCGGGGAACTAAGGCATCATGTCTTCATACCCTATAAGTTCTCTAAAGCGAACTGCTTAACGACAGAAATAGATAAGGCAGATTACTTTACCTTACTACTACTACATTATTGTATAATACCTCGACGTTATTGGTATTTATATTGAATTTATTACTTCTGTATCATATACCATTTAAAACACTTTGCTATTGAAATAAAAAAATAAAATTAAAAAAGACATGTCCTCAGATCATGTCCCTACGAAAGTAACTCATATTATGGGTACTTGTAACTTCGATTCGTTTTCTTTAAATTAACAATTTAAGTCTAAAAAATCTAAATTTAAATTTGTTCTTCTAGGTTTACATTTCAACCTCAGATGTGCAGATGCACGCCAATTACCACCGAAAAGACTCAGCAATACTGCAGGAAGGGTTCCAAAGGTTCAGGGCGACGGAAACCTGCGCCGCCCCGCATTGCGTCTTCGCTGGCCAGAGGACCACTCACTTCCACTGCCGAAGGCCTGGTTGCACTTATACATTCAAAAACAAGGCTGATATGGGTTAGTATTTATGAAATACTTAAACAAATACAAAATAACTTATAGAAAAAAACATTCCTCCTTGACTTCCAAATGATTATTAAGAAATGTTTCACAACTGAAGACTTAAAAAAACGCTATTATTGTTGGGAGAAATAACATTTGTCATGTCATGAAGAATCATCACAATCAGTTCACATTGGGAGACAATATATTAAGCTATTTCTTACATTGACAATGAATATAGAAATAATTAAAAAACTTATAAATTTGCTTGAAATCTCTAATATTGAATACCTGTGAAATATTTATTATAAATAGGTTCTATACAAAATTTTTTATAGTAAATGATAATAAAATATTCTACTTCAATTACAAACATAGCATTTTGAGATGAATGGAAGAGAAAAACGTATCACGACTACTCCAAATAAATCGAATAAGGATGAAGCACTTAATGATGATACAAAGATAGCCTTTATCGGTTTTATTAATTTTGAACAATATCTAATCAAAACTTTCTCCACAGAAAAACACAAGACCTACCACATAAAAGACGAGGCTCTCTCAAAAGATGGTTTCAAGAAATATATGAAGAATGAAGCATGCCCATACAGAGACTGCCGGTTCAGCAGAACATGCAACCACATCCACTGCATCAGACCTCATTGTAACTACGTGCTGCATTCTAGCAGCCAGATCTTCACACATAAGCGGAAGCATGAGAGGAAAGAACAGGAAATGAGTTTTGGGTAAATATTTCAACTTACATTATTTAATTATTTTACAATCAATTAGCGGTGATAGAGGCTGCAGATACTGTCCAGTATTTTTTGATTAATGAATCTTACTAATATTATACGCGAAAGTTTGTGAGTACAGATGGATGGTTGGATGTTTTTTATTCTTTCACGCAAAAACTACTAAATTAATTGTGATAGAATTATACAGTAATATAGCTTATATATCACAATAACACGTATGGTATAATTTAAAAAGATATTAACTAAATTGTGTGAAATATAATGATAAATGTCAAGGAACGAAGTTGCGCAGGGCAGCGAGTTAATTAATAAAATAATAAGTGGCTCATTAAACATTTTCACAAAATTAATTTTCGTGTCAACAATGTCTGTGAAAATTTCATCGCAATTCCTCTATACCTTTTAAGTTAAGCATTAATATAAAACAGACAAAATAATCGACAGACAGTTTATGACTCACGTTTATTTTATATGTAAAGATAGATATGCCATCACGACTATTATATAAGATGGTATAGAAAGAGCCATTGTCAACAAACGGAGTCGTGGTGAACGTAACATTGATATACCTAAATTTTGTCTTACTTAATACCTAAATTAAATCTTACCCTTTTTATGTTACTGTAATGGATAACAAAGCGACTACCCACCCTTTTTTACAAAGGGAAATGTGCGTACAGAATCACTCGCCTTTATAAATGGTACGGACGGATACTGTGTCATTCCTAGCCACTAAAACTTCTCAGTATTCGCACTCACCGCGATTAAAAACTAAATTCTACCAAATATGTTCTTTAGGCTACCAACTTCCGTGATCCAAAGTGCTCTAATGCAGCAAGGTGCAGATCTCAGCTTATACTCACCTGGAGGCAGTTTGCACGTTGAAGATGATATGTCGAATCCTATGATGGATTCAGATTTCACGCATCCATTTGTGAGTATCTTCTCTTCATTTTACTACATATTACCAGCGGTTTTACATGTCCTTAGGTTGAAATTTTCAAGTCTTCTTTGGTAACAGTAATATGTAATTTACGTTACATTTATTTTCATTTTTTTTTATTCATATATATATAATTTTAAATATAATTATAATACATTGTTTAGACCTGATAAGGTAACAAAAAGATATATCTTTTCATTTTTAATATCGATATTGAAATATATAATATGGATTATTAATTTTAAATGTTAGGTTCTAGTTAATCTATTTATAGTGTTTCTATTATAAATATTAAAATAATTTGCATAGTTTACATATTTTTATAAAAGCAGTAACCTGGTATTTATAATATATTTAAAATTTTAACTAAACTAGCTGTGAATATTTCTAGAATACGGCACTGGTTGAAGAAGTGTCACGAAAATACATAGAAACATTCAATGGGGGTAAAGAAGCAGAAGACAAGTGTGGGAAATGTAGCGCTTTCAATAAGCACTACCATTGCTTAGCTGATGGTTGCAAGATGGCGCATAGGTAAGTGAAACAGGTTTTTACAAAACATCATTGAAAAAGAGAAGTTTAGAAAATCTAAGCTTTAATAATACTATACATATTGTCATAATGTGCAGTGAAATAATTTACAGAAGAATAAGAAATTTTGTGAACTTTATATGAAGGACAGTTTACAAAATCTGAGCTGGTTTTTACCTATTAAAGATCTTGTAAAATAAGAATTTGTTTCGTTTCGATTTGTTTAATGTAGGTGAATTTGGAAAAATGATATAAACAATATTTATAATTACTTCTTGTAATAAAATTCAGGAATACATAACTTTAATATTCAAGCCTGATAAAGATATAAATATGAATAAGTAGTAGTTTAGTAATAGATAATAATGTTATTAATTATAATGTTATTTAAATAAAAGTTTATATTTTTAACTGAATGAAATAAATCTAAAATGATAATACATATTTTAGCTGTCACACTACAATGGTGAAGCACGTAATGGAACATGAACAACAAAATCAGGTGACTGAGGCATACTTTGTGATGTATACACGAAGCAACCCTTGTGGCAACTCTGCCTGTCAGCACATCAGAGATATTACTCACTATCATTGCACTTGGGTAAGTGTACAAACATCTACTAATATTTTACTCGAACATTGCTTTGATCAAATTAAAAAGTACGATGAATACTATGTCACAAATAATTAGTCATAGGCATTTGACCTAACAATTAAACCAATGTTCTTAAAACAATTAACAAAGTAAATATAAAAAAGAAGAATACTTTTATTATAGAAGCAATTTCATTTTAGAGACAAGATCCTCTTTGCATATCCCATATTTATTTTTGTTTTATTTATCTCCTTGTGTTGTAAATAAAAAAGGACTATGTTTGCAGGAAAATTGTGGTGCTGTCATTCTTTCATCAGAAGAGCACCCATTTAGACGTTTAGAACACCATCGTCAACATGCAATTCTCAGTCCTATGTCACCTAACTTAGCGGCGAGATTCGCACCAAACTTCACTCCACAACTGTCCGCTCAATTACATCCGAATATGGCGGCTCAACTTGGTCAAGTTCCCAATATACCGAACCTACCTCCAAACTTGGCACAGCTAGCTCAAATGGCGCCAAGCCTTACGTCACAGTTGAATCCTAACTTGCAAGCTCAATTAAATCTTGGCCCCAATCCTGGTGTTGTCCCACAACAAGTGAACCCGTCAAGTTCCCTGGATGAAATGTTCAGCAGAAAACGTGGAAGACCACCCAAGAATAGAGTCGTGGAAGTTTGGACTGATAATGTAAGTAGTCTATAATTTTAAATTAATTAAAAAGTTACCTAATTATATATATTTTTTTAATTTTTATAATTATTTATTTTATTATACAAGAGGATTTAATACTATTTTGTGTAGTCTGTTAATATAGAAAAATACTAGGAAATAAAATAAAGTCAATATCAATCAGTTGTAGGTTCTCTCAGATTTGTAACTATCTAAAAGTATATCGAAAACCTATATTCTTATAGAAAATGCAATCTTACATTTCTATTGAATTTCGATTACCAATTGTTGTTTGTTCTACTTTCTTACGTTGAAAAGATTGTTAGTTTTCTAATATATTATTCACATTGTAGGTCACCCCTCAGGCTATATTCACATCGTTCAAATTGCCAAAGAGCAATCAAATGCCGGCCGTCGTTCAATCACCTGTTATAGCCACGCTCGAGGAGTTTCCGGTAACTTATTACTTTATTATACTTTTATTATTTTTAATTGAGAATTGGGAATTTTTCTAGTTTCTAAAATATATGATGTTCTCGTAATTATAGGATATAAATTTAAAATTACTGCATAATTTAAAGATATTCGCCACTCAAATAAATTTGGATGGACCAGTTTTTGTTGGCAAAAATGAAATTGTCTATAAGAGATTGATAATAATAACCAAGGACAATTCAGACGGCGCCATCTATTCCCAACTACGCAGAGGTTGTGTTTGTACAACTGATATAAATACTTAAATACATTTTTTTGTATATACATTCTTATTATATATAGAAACGCTGAAACTAATACAAACACTCATACTCATGAAAACAAATGTTTGTACCATGCAAAGAATCAGCGGTTCTTTGGTAAATCGATAGACCCCCCGAGGCCTTTACTATTTTCTTTCATTTATGTCAATAAAGTAACAATAAATAGATGCGCAAAATTAATTTCATAACTCTAATATACCTTTACTTTTTCTACAGCGAATAAAATTCCAACACTTCGAAGTCTTCACTAGTCCGGACACTTGCACTCAGTCGTATCCTAACTGTCAATTGAGGATGACCAGACTTCATCTACACTGCTTTAACTGCAGCTTCGTTGGTGAAACGCATATGATAATGGAATCACACATGAGAGACTGCCACTCTGTTGCACCTTTATTAGAAGGATTCGACTATTATTCGTCTTTTGACCAATGCGGTGGGAAAAGTTGCTTTAAAAACCAACTGAGATCTCATTTCCATTGTGCACAGGGAAATAATTGTCCAGCAATTTTGACTCAATACTCAGCTTTAGCTACTCATAAGCATGGGAGAGGTACTCCAGTTATTAAAACTGAGGATCAAGAAAAGTCTTTTGAGGAAGCCAAAGATTATTCATTGAAAGAACGCGCGTCTGTCGATAGTGTTTGTTCAATGAAAGAACCAGTTGAACCATACACACCAACCAATTTCTCGATTAAGAGCGAATTCGATAGAGACCAGGACAATGTTTCGGGTAAGTGCGTTTTGATATTACTTTTTGAACCATCTTTGAAAAAATTTAAAGTATAGATTCTACTGTAGATTCTCAAAGTACAATAGTTAAGTCAACATGCCTATTAAATATGTTAAGCAAATAATTATGTAACTGCGTGCTGGTAGTAGATTTTGTCCTAATTAAACTTCAAACAGCTATTGTAGAAACTGCATGTATATTTTATATTAGTGCCCATGACCTTTATGTTAACAAAATATCATGTAATCAAATATTGATTTCAGTAGTAAAAGCTACGGGAACCTTCTATCCATCTTCCCACCTCCGAAGCAATACGTCATCTCCGTCACCAAGAAGTATTTATGACGCGTCACCTTCTAAGGAAATGAAGTTACGAATGGACTACGACAAAAAGCCAGCAGGACCTACAATCCCACCTTCGTGCCATGATCAAACATGTGCTCTGAATAAAAATGCTGGTGGTATGAATCTGCATTACCACTGTCCTCACTGTGGGCAAGCTTATATCGATTTGAAACTTCTCTTCAGTCACATGGTCAAGAAACATAGTAACTCCATGGATTCTGGACCTGTCGGATTAGCTGCTACCAAGGTAAAAAAATATATAAGTGTACTAATATTTATAACAGTAGCTTTAAGATCATTATGAACAGTAAATTGAAGCAACATGTCAATATAGAAATTTGTATTTATCATTTGACAAACGTTGTATATAAACATTTAACACAATATTACTCTAATGTTAATGATTCTTAAACGTAAATATCAAAATGAAGTTAATAAGTTTCGTTATTATAGACATTTTTATTACAATCAATGTCTTGTTTACTAGGAGACTCTCGAACGAGAGTACCCAGAGATCTCGATACTGCCATCGACTGCTACTTCCACTTCATCTAGTCAAATGCCATCGCCAAGTCAGAGACCACCAAATCCTGCTGAACAGGTAAATATGAATATTAAACATTCTAGTATCATGATCACTTTATTATCATAATCATCAGGCTATTTTAGTGAGTAATCTATTACTTGAACACACGTTACTACTAATATAGTACATTGCATAACCTCGCGTAATATATATAATTATAAACATGATTTATGTTTATTGTATTTCTAAACTATGAAAACTGCTCACTAGATTCAAATACATGCCATATTTCATTGCAATGAAGCATTATAATGTTTGATTGTATATCAATAGATTATTTATTCCAAAATTAGAATTGATGATAAACTTTTCATAATTCAATACATATTCCTGTACGCAAACTCAAGTTTATTAATAATTCTTTGTTTGTCAGGTACAAGCAGTTCAAAGTCTTCTATTACAACAATACTTAGCTGGAGGACGCAAGGGCAGTTTACAGGACCAGTTGAAAATACAACAACAGTATACTGCATCATTAGCTGGTCTGCCAGGACTTGCTCAAGTTGCACTATTTTCGCAAGGGTAAGTCAATATTTTTAGACTTCATCGTTTTAATATCTTCTTCCTTAACTTCTTTCAAATGTTCTCATTCAAAAAGTTTAGTAGCTGGAAATCGATAATAGTTTATCTCAATTCATTTCATTTTCATCATCAGTAGTATAATTACGGATAACGTTATTGTTTTCAGATATTACTATTTTAAAGTTTAATACATTTGGATTGTCTAAAGAATCAATAATCGGAACAATTTTTATAAAATATCTTTAAAAATTCTTTTTCTAAATAATGCTTTTGTATTCGCAGAGGATCGCCTTTCCCTCTGTATCCAACGATGCTGTATCCACCTGAGTTGCTTCTGGAACAGAGTCTTCTTCAAGGCCACGGTCTACCACCTGGACTGGATAAGGAAGCTGAGATGCTAGCTAAAACGTTAGTATTTTACATGTGTCCTGATATGGTCTTCTTCCTTTAGTATATTATCTATCTAGTAGCAATACCTTAAATTTTATTTTATAGTATTGCATACTTAGAGATAAGAACTTTTCGATATCTATCAAGGAAATTGGTTAAAAAAGAAATTGCAACGTGTCGATGAAATCTTTTGTTATGATCAGATGTAGGTAAAGTTCCCTAAAAATTGTTCAATTTAGTAATCAAATTTTATGTATACATAGTATTTGGGATGAAGAAGGACACAAACTACAATTATGGGGTCAAGAGCAAAAGTTTCAAAATACATGTCATACTAGACGTGACGGGCGATTTCATCTGCGTTTTTGTAATAGCCTAAATGTGGTTTATATTTAAATGAAATTTCTTTAAGATCCATTCTAGCTCCATCAGTTATACGTGGAAATGTCACACTTTCGAATTTATATAATAAAGATTAATCTTTGAATTTAGAAATTATTAAATTTTTGGAAGTGATAAATTTAATGTTGTAGTTTTTTTATCCTAAGTTAACAGCGATTTGTAATATTGTCAGCAGGCGCACTCATACGACACGCGGGCCTCACATGAGGGTACTGAAGGACGAACCCATCCCTGAGGGTTACTTGAGATTCAGATTCAACGAAGACTGCGCCTATCAGCATTGTGGCTACAGGTTTGTTCATTTCTACTCCGTCTTCTTCTTCCCCACTTTCATCTTCCTCACTTACCATTCCTATGTCTGCCGGGGAAAGAGATTGTTAGTATTTTGAATCTATTCCTTGCAATATTCTAGGTCTACCATCACGCGGGTTCTCCTGAAAACCATTGTGGTTAGGATCTAGTAAATATTCTATGGTGGGCTAACTAACACGACTTCATCCAGCATCTCCCACTCTCTTCCCCTCTTCACCCACACTCGCAGCACTAACGGTGTATGCTGGTACCGTTAGTGCTGCGAGTGTACCATTCCATATTCCCCCATAATAAATAACATATAACAGTACTTTTATATATATTATTTTGTATATATTAGAAACACTATAAAGTATTTTAATGATATAATATATGAACTGTCTGCAATTATACTATGAAAGACAACTGCATAAAAAATAACAAAAAAATGTTATGTCATAGACACGTTTTTGAAACTTAAGTTTCCATTTATTTGCATTCTTATTGTAAGTTTATTTTATTTACAGGGAGCATCAAACCCACTTCCATTGCACAAGAAAAGACTGCGGATATTCTTTCTGTGACAAAACAAGATTTGTACAGCACACCGCTAGACACGAAAGGTATATTATCAGTTTTATAGCTAAGATATAGAACAACTACAGTACTGTAACAAGGTAAAGAAGGCTACCCTACCAGTGCCAGCTATAGCACTGAATAAATCGTTATTTTATCCATTTGAACTGTAGATGGAAGTAATTTTCTGTAATTTTCTTTTCATTTATTTTCTGTTTTTTGTTATTTTCACACTTTATGATAATTTAGTTTATAGTATTTGCACAGATGTTTATAATTTCCCTTTATCGTGTAAATATATTAAATTTATATATATATTTCTTTTATTAATACTCTCTATTGCATATTACTCTTGGTATATTAGTGTAAACACAGTAAAATAAAAATAATACAATAAATTGATGTGAAACTTCCCTTCACTTAATTAAGTTATTTGCAGTAAGCAAAATGATGTTTACTTTTTATATAAACTCGTAATATTAAATCGTATGTTTTTAATATTAATTTCAATATTAATCTCCTTGTTATTTACAGATTGGATACATTGATGGGTGGTGATTTCCAGCAGTACCGCGCGAATGTGTACTGCCAACGATCAGAATGTCCACATGCATCTACCTTCGGTAAGTTTTACTTCCTAATATTATACACAAATATCTAAATTATTATTATATTTAAATTAAAAATTAATTGATTAAATTTAAATATTTAAATTTAATCAATTAATTTTTAATATAAAATATTTAAATTTAATCAATTAATTTTTAATTTAATTTAACACGTCACACAGTATGATTGTTTGTATTGGTCTGAGTGTTTTGTATGTACATATATCTGTTGTATAGTTCTCATAACACAAGCTCTGTTAATGTAGGACTAGATGGCGCTGCGTGAAAAAAAAAAGGATATTTAGATTTGATTTGACTATACATTCATGCTCCTTTACTGATGCACTTGAATTTGTCCCTATTCTTCATTCCTTCATTCATTTAATTAAAAAATGTATTGGAACAAACGTATATTTTTCTAAAAATGACCCTTTTGATCAAGGTACAGGCCAGAACAAGGCATCTCACTTCCACTGCTTGAAATGCGACTTCGTGTGCACGGACACCAACAAGGTGGTAGCCCACCGGCGTCAGCATCAAAAACTTGACACCATACAAGCAGCCGGCTTTGAAAAATTCCCACCCAGCAAAGGTAATTACTTTCTCTAATTTATACAAACGTTGATTTACATTCGTACGTTTCATTCAATAAAATATGACAATTATATAAAAAGACATTTAACATTTATAAATGTAAATGAAAATTGTTTACAATTTATATAAATAATGATTATTCGTTGTATCACACAACTGTTTAATAAATATTGTTGTCGTATGTTCTTTTTATGAATTCTAGAATTCTTTATCTTTATTTAAAAGAAATATTCAATAGAATTTTCTATTCTTCGAATAAAAAGTAAAATTTTACAAAAATAGATATTTTTTGTCTGTAGGTTTAAAACAATAGAGACACATATTTTTTTCTTTTTATTCTATAAAGAGAAGGTTACATATATACATATCATATATTTGACTGTACTATTTTATTCAGTCATTTTGTAAATGATATAGTTTATTCGAGTTAGTTGTGTAGTAGATATTTTAAGTACTTAACAACATAGGTGATGTGAACATCGCTAACAACCAAATTCATTAAGAGGTTGTAGGTTCGAAATGTAGATATGTCATGTTGTGTTCATCACAATAACTCCAACTACCTCATTGAAAACATCAGTCTTGAAGATGTCTTTATAAATTATTTTTTTTTTTCAGGATGTGGCTACGAACCTCAATGTATCCACAGCAAGAAGCAAACCCACTATCATTGCCTCCAGTGCGGTTCAGCGGTTCTCGGCCTGTCTCAAATGACCTCACATAAGTACAAACACCAGGAAGCGAACATGGGTCCCTCGACTAGCGGCACCAACTGACGAGACCTGTACATAACCATTGTAATCTTGTCCACGAATAATATTGGACTTTATGTATATAGCATTAGGCTTATTTTTTGTAATATGTTTGACATTTAAAATGGGCAAACCAAATTAAAAATATTAATGCAAATCAGCAAATCAGAAAGTGTCGATTTTAAGATTTTTGGATTATTCCATAAAATATAAAATGATCTAAATAATTTTATATAAAATTTAGTCCTAAACTGTAGCCAACTCATTATAATTAAAGGCATATGTATAAAAATTTTGCAGTTGAAATCTGGATAATAGGAGATAGGTTCTAACCTGGTTAGTACCCAGGGCCGTGAAAACTGTTAATAAAAAAATAGACATTAAAAACATGATCTAATTTAATCATGGCTATTTTTATACACATTATGTCCCTCAAAAGTGTGCCTTATTCTATATTGATAATGAGTTGTACTTGATTGAGCCAACTATTACAATGACTGACTCAATATTGTACTACTTTGTCTGATATTTACGATATACAAAATTTAATGATGTACCAACGATGTGGCAAAAAAAGTGCCAAATTAAAAATGTTGACTTTTGAAATTTTATACCTTATTGTAATGCGGATTAGGATGCAAAGTCCTATGCAAGAGATAATGTAGAAATACGATTTATTAATTAGGTATATATATACATATAAAAAAAGAATTTAGCATGTGTAATGAAGTATATTCAAGCATAGAAAACTAGACGCGTGTGTATTTCCTAAATCCCGACCAATTGTAGGCGTTAGATTATATAAAATGTTTTATATTTATTACTTCCCAATGAGAAAAGACATTTTTACGAATAGTATTATTAATTTAGACTTCGTAAATTAAATGAGGCAATAAAAATTGGAGTAAGTACGCCATTTTGTGCCTGGAAGTATAAACATGACAATATAATATTTTGTGGTAGTTTCTGATAGAAAATGCGTCAATATCATACACAATTTCATTCATCTACATTCATTAAAAACTAAAAAAAACTATCAGAAAATATCTCAAAAAGTATCCACTAGGATTACAAACAAAAAAGTATATTTAAAAATATTTAATAAAATTGTCAATTCTATAAACAAAAATCATTGTAAATAAGAATAGATTATTATATTATATTAAAGAAAAACTGTAATCTTAATAAAAATATAATTGTTAAACGGATTATGGTATAAATTATATTGTAGAAAAAAATCTCAATTGGATATTAGTGTACAGGAAATCGAGTGCTAACGTTTGTGATTCATGAGGTAGCCATAAATATGCCATAACTTCATACATTTGTAAGTAAAATATATTGTTTTAATACTAAATTGTCTTTAGAAGCAGTATTAGTGCCCGTTGATAACCTAGAACCTTTTGCATTCCTGTTTTATTCCTGGCAACCGTCGCGAATCGTTCCATTTAGTTTTAGAATAAAATGGTTGTTGACCATTCTAGTGACCAAAATCTTTTTGTACCCTATTCCTAGCTTTTATCAGTATTTTAATAGTATATAAGTACTATCCTGTTGTTCCTATTACATTTTATTATTTCATTTCAATATTGTTTCATAACAAGAAGATAAATCAGTTTGGAAATATTAAAAATTTTTTAACTTAATTACCTCGTACCGATATTTTTGTCTTATACGAACAGAAAAAAAACTGCTTGTAAGTTATTTTTCATTTTTTCTATTGTATTTTCTTATTAAATAGCATTGTATACGATAAATATTTAATTAGTATATATTATCTTTTATATAAAAGTTTCTAAATAGCCCGTGCCATAAACTTTAGTCACAATTTTGAAGTTGGAACAGCAACTTTTTTTTCTACTTTATACTCATTGTGGTATTTTTTTCTAAGTCAACAGATACACACTGTTTGGCTACTTATGATTTTTTAAAATAGTCTTGTATAACAGAAATATTTTGCATACCTATTTTTTTTAATTAAACAAAAGCACATTACTATATTTTCCCTGGGAAAAGTGTGTTTGCAATAAAAAATATTCTTTCATTTATTGGTTGTTATGCATTCTTTGTTTTGTTATCTAATTTTATGTACGTTTTTATTTTCGAACTCTTAAGTTTTTTAGTCTTTCACAATATCTTTCTTTTTTTAATGAAATAAAAAACACCTAATTTAATCGCGTATTTATGTGTATTTTAGCGTACGTAGCTTTAAGATGTCATGAATTAAAATTTATAATTTTTTTCCTTGAATGTACACAGTATTTTGTCCACAAGTATTATGAAATGGAGTGTTTTCATCTTTTTTGTAATAAAAAAATTACTCCCTTGTAAAAACTAAAATAATCTACAAACCTACTATAACTATTAGTGTTTTATCACTTTCTTTGAAATAAAAAAAATAGTTGATAAGAAAAAGGTGTTCTACATTTGAATAGCTAAAGCTTACTTTTTAGGTTCAGACCGGACGGCCTGTACCGATGACCCGTTCGATTGACGCATTCCCAAAAAGTGAGAAGTGTAGCATAATGCGCCAATCAAACGGCATCGGTACGGTCCGTTAACTCTAACCGGAAGTGTAGGGCAGCCTTATATAGGTTTGTAGTACATTTGAGGTTTTTGAATAAGGGAAGAATGTACGGTACAAAAATGTTATGTTGGTGAATTCACTCAAACGTACGTAGTGTTTGAATGTATACAAACCATTATTAGAGTTTGTTTGTTTGTTTGCAAAACGATTGGTATCATATGAAAATAGTTTAGTATTGTTTACCTCATGAGTTCTAGGTATTAAACGAGAATATTCAAATATTTCAGTGATTTTATTGAATATAACCCATAAATACATTTTTTTCTAATAAGTCTGGCTGATATATAAATCTAGTTGATCAGGTGGTGACAAAACTTTAATTAAATGAAATAGATCAAAATTAAAGACCTCTCTTTTTGCGTAAGGTTTAAAAAAATACGTAATAACAAACTTCAGGTAAATCTAAAATTGCCTCATACCATGCTAATAACTTTAAAAATTTCATTGGTTTCTTTATTACACAATCAGTTGACGAAGAATTTAGTTTCATTTCAGATTTTGTTTTTATCATTTTCTTTTACCAGAGGTAAACTTTATACAAAGTTGTCAGCGTGGGTCCCCCCTATTTCAGTCGTCAAGCAGCTTGCTTTGTTGTGATATATATCTTTGTTGAAGTATGAGATTTATGTCTGCTTCTTCCTTATAAGGAAGAAGCAGACATATAAATACAAAAACATATTACATATTAATAAAAACATATTACGCCGACTCCAAATAAATGGTATACCATTTATTTGGAGTCGGCGTAATATGTTTTTCTCTTCCACTCATGCGTGTTCGCAGTCATCTCGTTATTTAATCCCATTCTTACCACGTCTTTCACACAATCCATCCATCTCTTTTGCGGTCATATGTTGGATATGGATGAAGACACCTTCAGTATGTGATATACCATCAAAATTATAGGAGGCTCCTATTTTACTCCTAAACTTTCTTTAATGTTCTTCATGATGATGATTTTTAATGAGTAATGGGGGTTACCTGAAAACCTGCGCATTATAGGCACCTCATTGTGGTTGTACTTATATCTGCAACAGTTGAGGTAGTACCTATAGTTATGTAGGTGACATTATCTATCTATTGTTCTATCTATCTATCTATCTATATCTATGGTATTGTAAAATTTGTATTTTTTTTTTCTTATTTTGTGTATTCTTGGTAATCTGTTGGCAATAAATAAAAAAAACCTTCAACACCTTGGAGAGTGACGTTATTTAGAATGAATTCAGTTTAGTTAGCCCATCATATCAAAGTCATCATAAATAGACCATGATTGTTTCCAGGAAAAACAGGATTTCCAATTGATAATAGTGGCTGATGACCCCATTGCTAGATGCACCATGTCAGGTTGACCTCACGCTGTTCCCCCTGGAAATTATATACTTCCTGATGAATATGTCACGATGGGTTAACTGACCTGACCCCATGTTCATCTTATTACCCTCAGCTGGTGCCCTGTCAGCACCATTCAATTATCATCTTTTAAAAAAAATAGGGCCACTAGGGGGAGGAGGGGATTGTTAGTAATGTGGATTAATAACCCCATTGCTAGCAATGTATCATGCCGGGTTAACCTCCACGTGGTTCGTGGAGAGCATCGTGCAAAATTGCCTTTTGCGTTAACGGCGGTAGGTAAAAAACAAGGACCATTACGACCCATCACAAACATTCCACTTTTTCCGAACTTATTTAGAATACTAAAGGCATCACATGATAACGTGATGTCAGTATTGCTGGCCATGTATAGGCGTCGGGAACACTATACTCATTCTATCAGATGGGTACTGCCATTTCAGTTTCATAAATAAAAAAGTAGATATTATTAAAAGGGACAAGTTGACAAAGAACATTGTCAACATTAAATAGATTATTCTGCTCAGGAGTATGTAACTATCTTTATTTCTCAAAAAAACCACCAATTAATATACATTTTAAAACATTAATTATTATGGATAATTTAAATTGTATACCTAATTTACGTACATACGCGGCCTCGCTACATTGATATTTATTGTCTACTACATAAGGTCGTGTATCATTTGACACAGTATTATTGTCATTAAACATTTTATTATTGTCCAAAATATAGACCGCGTTGTCATTTTTACGTTCTATGGCGTATTGATACAATTCGAATTTCAACCATCGAATGTTACGTATTTGCGTTTCAATATATATTTTTAATAACAAGACTCATTTGTCATATTATGATTTAAAAACATGATATGATGAGAAAATATATGATCAAATATTGTATTTTGATATGCATCCTTATATTGAAAAAAGCTGTATGAAATAGTTCCTTAGTCTGAAAAATGGACAGTTTATTTTTTTACATTCGATGGCTTCACATAAACAAATACGTATAAGTACTAGATATAATACTGATATGGCTAGTTATTACACTATATGTTTGCAGTTACTGCGATATTCATAATCAGAGATATGTAAGTGTGAAACCTCTACACATAATGTTTCATACGATTTATTAATTAAACACCTATTTATAATTGCAATACGCTTCCAATAGATACTACTCAATGTATTTATCCACTAACTACCTAATATTTAATGATATTTTATAAGACAATAAAATAATTTGTAAAACTCTACAGAATATTGTTAGAAAATTATATATAAATAAAAATATGTATAGATAATCTCGCTAAATCGTAAAATGTAGGATAGGACACGTCCTACAATAATCCCTTTACAATAAATAGAAGATTAATGAATTCATTGACTTGCTTAAAGCCATAATACATGTGTTTATATAATTTTAAAGCCAAATTTCATAGTCTGTGAGGTTATGTCGACTTATTGGGTCGATACTTATAAGTCGATAGTTGTTTAGATATAATAATAAATATAGTACACAAATAGATAACAACTTCCTTAGAATTACAGCCTTCGCGTTATGGCAACACTCTTTTTCGGGTAACTTTTGATAGGTAATAGCAACATTGAAGAGGAAATACGGCGACCAATGGAACGGGGAATCGTCACCATTCGATATTTAAATTGAATCTTCAATTATTATTTTTCTATTGCCTGATATTCGTTTATTTTTCAATAATACGTCCATCGTATCGTAGATATACCTATCATGGTGCCCCATACCTACACCTAAGATCCAATAGTACACAAATATTAATAAAGCCGCGCGAGGCGCGCCAACCGCTAATTTACAATTAACTATTACAATAAACATGAAACATTTAAATGTAGTTAAAGCATTTATCTGTCGGACTTCGGTTGCGCTCTCTGTGACACGACATACATGTTACGTCTCCAGTTCGCACCCGCACAGCCGAAGTCGACCGCCGTCTTGAAGGCTTTTGAAGATTATATTACATGGTAACTATCACTTAGTGACTAATCACAACAATAATTATGTATATATTTGGGGAATAAATAGTTTACGGATCTCCGCAGTGACCTTCAGACAGTTATTGTCAGCCTAGTACACTCCAAGTATCTTATAACCCTATATAGACCAAGTCGTAGTCGTGGGTATACTACATATTAAAAATAATTCAAATAGTCCAATAAAAACACCAGCAACAAGCAAAAATTTCCGTATTGGCAGTCGGCATACCTACAACATGTATAAATACATCACAAATACAAATTATTTTTATTCTAGTTTTTAATGAGCTTAAATGAACTTAAACAATATCAAACAGGTATCTACATTAAAAATTAGTGAGTGTCTAATACTAAAACATGTAAACGATAGATACATTAAGGAATTTAAAACTTTTCGCTTCGATTCCTAGAGGCCGTCGGGCTCGGACTGAACCTCGTAAATATTTAATTAAAAATATATAAAACCACTGAATAAAAATATATGAAATCGATTAAAACAACTATATATATAAATGACCTTTGTTTATAATGTTGCCAGCAGAGAAAATTCACGAAATGGGAGAATCAAAGCGAAAACCTGGCAATCGTAGACCGGCTACATGCCGCGTTCTAAATCATTCAATCTTAATATAAAACTAAGATATATAATTTTCGACACTCTTATTTTCTACAAAACATCAAATTGTAAAACACCAATACATTATTATTGTCAGAGTATAAGTATAATATAAATTTTATATGTTGTATTATTATTGTCGCATTAATAATTATATGGAATTGACAGGGTATTCAATAATTAATTGCTCGATTTGTATACGAATAGTCAATATTATTGTCACGTTTGGAAGTACCGTAATTCCACGGTTCTCTTCGAGGACTGTTATATAGGTATTCATAGAATTATCCTCATATCTTAATACCTATCGAAAAATACAATGCGATTATTCAAAAGGGGTATATTAAAAGGTTAAATATCTACATAGAAAACTGGGAATAAATATAAAAATATTGCAGTAAGTTTTGCACGAAGCTCGCGTATAAGAGACGACTGTCGACCAAGCGAAGCGAAGATATGGTTCCGATATGGCGTAGAAACAATGGTTGGTAAAGCCCTTGAGGGTAGGTTCCCGTAGAATTTTCTAGAACGTTATAGAAAGTCCGCCCTTTAGTGTCGAGGGGTGGGGGAGGGTTCAGTACGCGTATGGCACATACTCGGGGGCCAGGTAGTCGAAGAACGGGTGGTAGAAGGTGCGGCGGACTGGGGGCAGCATCACGTCGGAGTAGCGGGAGAACTGGGATACCTGACGGCTTCCTGGCGATGGTGGTTTCCTGGAACATACATTCATTTATATTAGCTTAGAAGTTCTTGAAATAAATGTTTGGAAATGTGCTATTTGTTAAAGCTGGCACTATAAAAACAATACCATCTAATTACACATATAAGTATCTAATCAAGTACTAGAGTTAAAATAAATTACCACAGATAATATAATATTGTTTGACTGGTAGAGAATGTTTCTTTTTGTATTAAGTGTTTTTGTATACATAGAAAACACCCAGGCCGAAGCAAACAATCATGAATAAAAATGTTTGCCGTGCGATGAATCGAACCAGCGACCATCAGAAGTAAAGCGGTGTGTTAAACCGCTAGACCACCGAGGCCGAATTATGAATTAAAGAAAAAACAAATTTAGAAGGCGAGATAGAGGTAGACTTAATCTGCCTTAAGTTTTTTCATCTACCGTCTGTAGATGAAAAACTGCTGTCACCTATCTACATTGACATCGCCGTTACTCCAGTCAGGTCGTGACCACGGCTAGTTCAACCTAGTCGAAACGTCGAGAGAAGTAAATATCTTTATTTGCGATAAAATTATTGGTGTTAAGATCCGATTAATAATATAAATAATGCCTAGGTAGAAGTCAGCGTTCATAGTCATATAGTGACATGTACTAACTTGTTGTGCCTGGCGGTGGGCTCGTCAGCGGGGTATTCCACCTGGAGAGGCTGCAAACCTCGGGGCTCCTGTTCACCGTAGTTGCCATAAACGTAGTCATCACCACTATAAAACAAATCAAATATATTAAATATACCATACCACGTGAGGAGGTCGTATTCTAAAGCTTTAGTACCCTAAGTGTGTTGAGGGTTTCTCAACACACTTTGAATATAATTAAAATTAAGTTTTATGTATTCTTTAATAAAAAGTGTACAATATTTTTTTTATTTAAATGTACCAATTTTAATGGTAACAGTAGAGACAGTAAGGTGCTTACTGTGTGAGTTTGCTTATAAACACATTGTTTACTTTTATACCACTGCCTATTATATGTTAAAAAATTTCTTTGAAAAAGCTTGCAGAAGTTGAGGTGAGGAAGGAGTAATTTGTATTTCATACATTATATTTGAAATGATTGGTCTCTTTTTGCTCTCAAATATTGCCAAATTGTTGTTTACAATAAATAATTGACAGAAAGGAGCCAGAGATAAAAAATATTTTAATATTTGTTGACTGGTGGCAGTATTTGAGCGGAGTTTCGTAATATTGTACAGCAACAAGTATTCATAAAGCGGTGAAGTAAATATTTCCCGACGCATTCATTAAACGCAACGTCAGATTATATCCGCCGGAACACTTTTAATATTCCTCGGAAGATTACCCTCCGTTCTGGGAGTCGCCACTTGAATTAGGATCGTTTAATATTGTTTTGCATAGGGAAGGTAAAGGAGTGACTCCCTCATTCATAAAATAAGGGTAATAAACCTACTTTAGCTATTAAACTTGTCTGGTTGTTCCTAACGAGCTGTTTTTTAATTTGAAAAAAAGTCTTATAACAATTAAAATAGTTTTACAAGATGTTATAGTTTCTACGATACGCATATGTCCGCCTAACAGTTTCTACCCCTTAAATTGAATAAAGCAGGCAGTTGTAGGCGAATTTAATCAACAAATGATAAAATATAAATCACTACTAAATTACTAGACATATCATGATCAGAGAGACCGAGCACTGTCTGAGGGAGAAATCAAGTGTCTACAGAATCGTCCATCTTCCTGTAATAATTTAAACCATTTTAATAAATCTGCTGTTCGGCCGGTAGTCCTCCATCATAAAGGAGAGTTACTAGCCGAAGTATCGATTCTACCGTAGCAAATGTCCGTTACCAGTGCCGTGACCACAGAAATAATTTATATTTATCTTAATATTTCATATGTATGTTAGTAGTAAGTAATAGGGTATTTATAAAGTAAGCTATTATGAATAGCTTTAATTAAATCAATGATAAATTAGCAAAATGTAAATATTCAAAAGAATCAAATATCAATTCAAACTAAAAAGTATTTATTCTTGTAGAACATTTTACCCGCTTATAAACGTAAATTTTTTTGTATTAAAATTTCTCCCTATCGTCCAGTTCAGTACACAGATTCAATTGAGAAGAACTGGCAAGAAACTCAAGTGAATTTCTTTTTCTTAAAGACAGTTTATTTACATTGAGAAGAAGAATAGTAGAATTTACTAACACAGTCTAGGGTAAGGCTAAGTGTCTCCGAATGTATGTATATATATACTCGTAAATGAGACGAGTAACGTAAGCAAGAGTTGTGTATAAAAATCTCCGATATTCGGTTGATTAATATTAAAACTCAAGGATTCTTCTGTCTTAAAATATCGTTAGCTAAGGAAGAGCCCTTAAAGGAAACAAGTGTCTCATCGAATTAGAGATTACGCTCATTTAGGGAACCCTTCTCAGTTTTGTAAAGGGATGCTGAGTTTTCTACTTAACATTAGCTTCCTGTCGACGTTTTTTTAAAGGTTAAGATTTTATCTCGCGATGCTTCACTTTTATGTTATACGAGTATTATTAAAAGAGTAGTTAAAGAAGTATTATTAAAAATACTTGACTATATTGGATGTATTTATTAATCTTAAATATTTGCCGTAATTGGAGTCTCTCATACTAAAGAATTATAAGTATACACCTCAGAACATACAAATAGCCAAGGGTGAACATTATATACCTATAGCAAAAATAAAGTCCGTGAGCCATAGATATTATGTAAATTAAGCAGCTCTTTCCTCGTTTCTTGCTTTGCGAGAAAGACAAAATATTGCAGCATCTTATAGGACTTGGCAAATTTGTAAACAACATCTTGCAAAGACAAACACACAATAATAAGTGAATCCATAGCCTGAGACAATGATGATTGTAAAGATATAATCATTCTTAAATTTAAAAAGTTAGTGTAAGTTAATATTTCTACCACATTTTACTGTTTCAGAGATATTTATTGGCGCCATTGCTAGCAATGTACCGTTGTCAGGTTTACCTCCACATGCTCCTCCATCGAAATTAACATCCTTTATTCCTGGTGAATTGGTTACAATAGATTATCGTGCGAGCTTAGCGTTACTACGATGTAAGTATTCTTCAGTGTTCGTTTTATCTTTTCTATCTATTCAGAGATCTCGAGTCTCCCTCTTCCAAGTTTGATAGCAATACTTTCCATCGAAATTTTGCCCTAAATATTTACATTCCTCTCTAATCAGCTTACTCTATTGTTACAGTAAATAAAAGATATTATTTTCGTTATTCCGAAAATTCATTATAATTCCAAAGTCGTACATTTTTACCATTAGAAATAAACAAGTGGAGACTAGAAAAAGGATCTCTATCAGGTTGAGCTCCACGCAGTTCTTCATGGAAACCGTCATGTTGAATTTATTACGATGGGCTAACTGACCTGTCCTCATACTCATCTTATCATCTTCCACTGGTGCCCGCCAGCGTATACTGTTAGCGCAGTCGAGTGCACCATTCCCTTATCAGCCCTAAAAAAATAAACAAGTGGTATATCTCACCCGCGGCCTGATGTGATCTCTTTCAGTTCCTGCTTCTGTTCCGTGTCGTATTTCCTCTGTAGTTCGCGCACGTGCTCCTGTCTGATTAGCTTTTTCAGAGCTTCGAACCTGAATAGAAAAACATTATTACTTTAAAATACGGTTTTATACTAATTGCTTTAAAAAACTTAAATTTTTCATGGACATTGAGATAAAAATTGTCTCACCTTTCTTAAGTTTAATCGACTTTCTTTGAAAACAAAATCGGATCCAAATATTAGATTGCGTCCCTTCATGCATTTTTACTATGATTTACTTCGTTAAATAACTAACAATTTATTTCTACAACTTAGCTACAAAGCAATTTAAATTCACAAAATGAAATTAAATTCTCAAAAAAACTAATTCTGTACAACATTTATTTAAAAGAACAACACGCAAGTTTGTTGCTCATTATTCTTGTGATGAGATTTTTCTTCATAAAAAATATGACTATTCAAAAGTGCTTATAGTAAGTTTGAATACAGATTATTTCTATTTCTATTGAATTATACACTAGCAACGCATTAAACCCATATTTTATCTGCAAAGCAATAACTAACTGACATTATTGTATATTCGGTTCAGTCTCTATTAAATTACAAAAATATATTGGATATTTCAATCCAATATATTTTTGTAATTATATTATTAATAACGGTATTGTTATTTATCGGTTAGTTGTTAGTGATTAAATTTCACAATAGACCTGTACATTTATAACCTACCTGTCTCGTTGCGGTGGCACCATGAACGTGGATCCCCTGGGTCTCGACGGGCCTGGATACCGGAGGATCTTCCCAGACGTGTGTGGGACATTCAACATGCCAAACATCTGTAACAAATAATACATTTTGAACTCAATTATTAAAGAAGTAAATTTTACTTTTGCATGTATTTATTTATTTACTCTTTATTGCACCAGAAGTAAGTAGATATATTACAAAGAGAACAGAAATAATAAGGTACAAATGGCGGCCTTATTGCGTAATCAATCTCTTCCAGACAACTCTTGGTAGAGAAGAAAGAAAACAGCTCAAGACAAAAAGTGGTAGAACTATCTAGCCAATTAATTACGATCTAGAATTCAATAATAAATTCACAATCCTGTTTTCATATGTAACATTTTAACAACTACATATTGGGAGGAAGAAGATGTTAGTAATGTAGAATGATGACCCCATTATTAGCAATATACCATGCAACATTGACCTCCGCGTGGTTCCCACTGAAAATATGATAAATTCCTGGTGATTTCACCACGATACGCTAACTGGTCTGATATCATGCTCATCTAACTTCATGATCCTCCATTGGAGTTCCTCCAGCGTAAACCCTTACCGCAGGCGGGTACACCATTCCATTATTATCCATTAAAAAATACAACGAGATATTATTTCCTACGCTACCATGCCGCAATTGTGTACATATATTTAATTGTTTATTTAATTTAAATCTTTAGATATAGCCGTAGGAAAAAATAGACTGTTATTATAAGCGAGCTATATTTTTTTTCAAAGGAAGTCTCAATCCCAATTTTAAAATTAAAATTGAAACAAATTAAAATTGTTTAAGGACCAAATGAATGGCTGTTTTAGTTCCTCGCTAATAGATGGAAGCACTATCCCTTTCCCAGCCTCTATGAGACTAAATAAATTTTTGTTGGTTGTTATTTTGTCATTTCATAAAATATTTATTATCTATGTCAGTAACATGTTAATAAATAGTATAAATACTAGTATTTATTGAGTAATAACATATCAACCTGTTGCAATACACGTAATAGTTTACTAAAAATAACGATAGATGGCGCCATCAGTTACAAGAACTTTATTACGAATTGAACATGAATTATCGCAGTGCCGCTCGAAATAATGTCACAAATAAAAAAAAAGATTAAAACCATTTTGTTATTATGACACCAATAGAAGTATAAGACTCGATTTTTGACACAATGGTCTAATAATATAATTAGTAATCAAAAATAGGAAGGCTATTTAGTAACAAATAGTATCTAATTTTATATTAAAAATAATAGATAATTATTCTAATAATATCATAATTATAGGAAAAAACAGGCATCTCATACTAGTTATTAAGCCGTGACTTAACATTAGTTTTTTTAGTTGACAAATTTTGGCCCTTCTTTTCTTCGGTCGGTAACTATATATTACGTTCTTCATTGAAATCCGCTCAGCTTAATCGTAGCAAACTAATAAGTAGACAGACAGATACTTTCTGATATCGGATCGATATAAGTAATATTTATTAGTGTGTAAAACGAACGAAAACGCGGGCAAAAACTAGTTAAGTTCATTTCTGATTCCTGCGATGCAAACCTGTTGTTGTTAAATAATTTTTTATCTATATTCATTTATGTAAAAGTGTAGAAATAAATAAATAAATAAAATTGTCTATTCTATTAAGATATAATACTCTAATATAATAACTTTTTATATAAATAAGTAGTTAAATTTAATTAATAGTTTACAGTATATTGATTTCTTTTCATCTTAAAACTTTTTCAATATGTACTTACCTACTAATCATGCGTAGTTTAAGGCCCTCAAGGCCAATCAGGTTTATATAATTTTGTTAGTAGGCACATACAAACAAAATGATTTAATAATATATGAAGTTTAATAGACGAATAAATATATATGGAAAACGTATATTATCCAATTTATAATACTAATTATATATAGTTGTTACTAATAATAGTTACTACGTTATTGCATTACGTAGTAACTATTATGAAGCATAAAGTCACCAAACTCATTATAATATTAATTGTATATTTAAAGTATAGAAAAAAATTAAATAATAACTTGCAACAAATCAAAAAACGTAATTCGACCCTGCCAGGATTCGAACCTGGAATCTTCTGATCCGTAGTCAGACGCGTTATCCGTTGCGCCACAGGGCCACTTTCGGGATTGTCGAAATTATGAATCACTTGTTGTTAGATTCATTTATTTTTAACGATTATAAAAAAGATTACTACAAAAAATCTAATTTATATGTATAATACATACTTTAAATTGTCTGTATAAGAAACGATTTAAGAATTCTGTATTGCGCCGATAATTCTAATTTATGGAAATGTAAACAAAAAAGTAAAAATTAAAACCAAATATTTATTTATAGATATAAATCCATACTCAATACTTGTTATAAATGATAAAGTGTATATTTATGTCTATCCGGTTGTATACATTTTCACGGATGACCTGATCTTATTGAAATTTGGGTGAAGATAGATTCTATCACTGGATAGGGAGTAGCCTATATTTAGTCCTTAGCTAGCAAAACTTGTGTTATGGGTACTAAACAACTAATATAAATACATAGATACTTTTTTTGTAAATATATACATAATATACATAAAGAACACACAGATACAAACAATCATACTCATAAATACAAATGTTGGTACTTGAATCGAACCCGCAACCAACGGAAATAAATGGGTGTGCTGAATCGCTAGAGCACCGAGGCCGTCAAAGATTGGAAAGGCCAATTGGAAAGACATTTGTTCAATATAAACAGTTAAATCGTGTAACAAAGTAACGAAATAAAAGAATAGCAGAAGAAAAGTTAATGGGGAAACTTGCACCAACGCAGCAATGTAACAACAAAGATGAATCAAACGAAACAATGGCGAGCTCACTTCAAAGACGCTTTCATTTAAAAACGACTCCAGTTATGGTGTTCGAGAAATTAGATTTGCGAGTTTCAATAAATTGTTCCCCTCTTTGACGTTTTAAAAGTTGTTTTTGAACTTAAAATGTTTAATGAAAACGTTATTTCAGAGAAATGTGGCGTAGTGGTTTAGAAACTAACTTAAACCACAATGGTCGTGAGTTTGAATATGGTCGACACTAATAAATAAGCTTGTTTACTTCACGAAAGATTTCAGAAGAGCGCTCAAAAAGATTAGACTTTTAAGAGATTAAAAGATTAGAACTAGATAGAGCTAATAAAAGATTAGACTAGTTCGTACTACACTTCAGTTTGTATGGTGAAACCAAAAAATGACTACTAAAAGAAGAACAAGATGTTTGACGGCTTTATTGGTCTAGTGGTCTAGCACACCGCTTTGCTTCCGATGGTCACGAGTTCGACTCCTCGCATAGTACAAACATTCTGTATTCATGAGTATGACTCTATCAGTCTAGGTATTCTCTATTATACGTATTTCTCAGAAAACTATATCTAAGTATTTATATCAGTTGTCTAGTACCCATAACATAAGTTCTGCTTAGTTTGGGACTAGACGGCGTTGTGGGAATTGTCAAAGGATATCATTATTATTATATTTGGTGGAAAAATACTTATGTACCAGCTACTGCTTTCTTTAATTTGAGTAGGGAGCGAACAAACTGAAGTAACTAACTATTTCGCAAGAGAGTTACGAACTAAATTACAATCCCAGGGGAAAGGGATTGTTAGTATCATTGGGGGAAGTGACTCATTGCTACCACATTTTTTTTTTGAGGATTTTGGGCTATCGTTAAGTGATAAGACCTGTAACACAGCGATCTGCAGATCTTATGATATTGTGCTCGACCATCAAACCTAGACCAGACACGAGCAAAAATAGAAGGATATTCTTGGGAGCGATGATTTTTATCTCCTCGGTATAGAGTGTTGCCATTGTTAGATTGACCTAAACGTAATTAATTCCTAGTGAATTTAACACGATGGCTGACTGACTGTCATTTAAAGTAAAAAGAGATCAACGTCGATTTATAAACTAGTTAACGCTGAAATCAGTATCCTGGAACTTAGTTTATACTGCAAATGATGAAATAGTGTATCAATTTATATTTTTTAATGCATATGTAGGCATATACGAGGATAGATAGGCAGATATATGTGAGGCTGTTTCTAGTTGTCATATTACTGTGATAAAGTGATAAAGTGGCGTACTAACCTCATCATAGTCGGGTGTACGGACGACATTGGGCGGGGCTTTAGTGACGACCCGGCCGTACGCTTCCCGCGGTAACGTCGGATACTGGTATCTGAATCTGTTGGAAAAACAAAAATCTACTTTAAGTATCTATGTGTGTACACAAATTTAAAAAAGAAAAATGATCATAAGGGCCACAGAAATTATTATTTTAATTTTAGAGGCGGTAACTATGGCCCCTTCTCACTAATATTATAAATGCAATAGTTTGTGAGTATGAATGTACTGTTACTCTGACACAAAACCAACTGAATAGATTTTGATGAAACTTTACAGTAATATAGCTTATACATCAGAATAATATATAGGCTATAAATTAAAAAGATCAGAATCAGAATAAGATATTAGGCGAAATATATGAAAAATGTCAAGTAAGTGTGACGCGGACGAAGTTGTGCGAGACCGCTTGTACAAAAATAATTATAAAAAAGTATAAGCTTTGCCTTTGTTTATTCTAGATAAAAGATAATAGTGAAATTACTGGATAAGAGGCGCGGGTCAGCTAGTGTTAGTATAATATTAATGAATATTTCAATGATAAACATAGTCATTAGTAATATTGTGTAATGTCGTGCTTGTTTTTTTAACAATTATTACTCACATTAGTAACTTACATTTATTTTTTACAATCTGAACTATTGTATGCACTTGTAGTACAATATAGATACTTTACAATATCTTTTGTAACAACTTTACATGATCTATCCACAATAAAAATATTGGTATTCGTATTTGTCCAGGCACAGAATTTTAATATCCGGTCTAATATTATAAAATTGAATGTGTATCTCGTTGTTTTACGATTAATCGGTGGATTTGAATAAAAGATTTACAAGGACGGCCATAGGATAAATAATTGTGCATAATATATAATATTAACTATACTTTCGCGTTTATAATATTAGTAAGATGTATTAACTAACATGACGTGAAGCCTCCTTAAAACATTTAAGACGATCGAATCACGTATATATTTTGGCAATCTAAATATATATAACTCAAAGGTGACTGACGTAGTGATCTATCAACACACAGCCCAAACCACTGGACGGATCGGGCTAAAATTTGACATGCAGGTAGATGTTATGACGTAGGCATCCGCTAAGAAAGGATTTTGATTAATTCTATCCCCAAAGGGATAAAATAGGGGATGAAAGTTTGTATGAAACTTTGTCAATTTTAAACCGATCGGGCTGAGACTTTGCATGCATAAAGCTACTATAATGTAAGCATCCCCTAAGAAAGGATTTTTATAAATTCCACGCCTAAGGGGATATTTTAACGCGAGCGAAGCCGCGGGCACAAGCTAGTTAATTATAAATTTCAGGAGCTTTACAAAGTACACTCTCGAACGATAAAAACCGTGGTCTCTCAAATACCCAATGGTTTGTTTTATAATCGTATCCAAAAGTTACAATACCGGATTTGAAGTTAGATCGGCGTAAGTCGGCAGCCCTATTATTGATGAAATTTCCACTATCCTGCCGCAAATCCGATCATCTGAAGAGACTTGTCAAATTAAGTACAGGTGCGGGTCGAAAGCTCTCAGTCCGATGTTTATTACTTAGCAAACTATATATAGATACGTCGATATATATTCTATTTACTTTCCCGCTGTCCATTTATATAAACGAAATGAAACGGACATTACATTTTGTCGACATGTTTTGGTAACGCTCTTTTTAACAATTCTTAATTTCAATTCAATTCTTTAAATATAAATGATGATGCTGATATTTTTTGAAAGAGGCATTCACTTTTAAGTTTATATATTGAATTTCCTAATTTCTAGCATTGCGTAAAACTCTATTTACAAATGTGTCGTATATATAGGTATTTTTAGATAAATCTTTTGTTATTGTATATAAGCTATACATCAATAATTTATAATATAACTATATATAATATTTCTCAAACTTGATCAAGAAAACAAGATCTTGATTTGTTTTTGAAAGCTTGTGTATCTGGTGCTGGTTCATGAGTTTCTAAAAAAAAGAGAATCATCAAAATCATAAAAAAAACTTAGAGAAAACGTCCGTCGTTTTTGAAGTCGCTTAGAAATTGTACAGAAATGGAACTACATGTATATAAGCATAAAAATATATACCTAGGTGCAGCTCTGGGTAGTGCGGTGTAAACCGGCCACTCGTTGTACATGAGAGGGTCACGATACGAATCCACGTGGTTCACGAACTCCGGTGCACGCGCTTGCCTTTTTGAGAACCTGCATATAAAAAAAATACAAATTTAGTTAAAACTATCACCTACCCGCGACTTCATCGGCGTGGAATTATAATAATACAATTTTTTGCAGTCACCCGTCAAAATTGTTCCAGTCGTTTAAGAGATTAGCAAGAACAAACAGACAAAAACTGATTTCATTAATTTTTATAACTACATTCCCTCCGATTAATTCAAACAGGGATCAAAATTACGACGACCTGAGCCGAGGCTCGAACCCCTAGCGGTGCCCTCAGACTAAAGTCGTATCCCTCAGGCGGGAGTTAGCCATCAGTTCCATAAGTCCTTTCGCGGGTTTAGCGTGTCATCTGCACACGCCCCCGATCGTCCGATGAAGCTGTAAAGGCCAGCTGAGACCAACGGCATTAGAGTAGTAAAAATTTAGTTAAAGTTTTTTATTAAAGTTGCAAATAGACACTTTAATGTTATTTGCTAGTTTACCTTTTGTACCTTTGTACCTCAATCTCATCTATTTTACCAGCCAAGTACCACACCCCACCCTACAAGCGAAATACACCTTACAAATAAGGCGATTTTAGTATCGATGTTAATATAATGGAATGGTACACCCAACTGTAGGGCAGTTGGGTGTACCATTCCATTATATATTATATACATTGGCGGGGCACTAGTAAATGAAATAAATAACTAAATTAGGGAAATAAAATAAATATACCATAACTTATATTCCAGATAAGGTCGGTTCATTTGCATTCACATGGGAAAGAGCGAGCTTAAAGGCCTTGTGAATTTCTTTTTAACTACCTGACGTGACATGGTCGCCATCTTATTCATTATCTACTAATACTTAACGAAGGAACAACTTGTATTCATACATTAAAAAAACACTTAGACTAATAATATTGTGCGAGCTTTGAACTTATATCGAAAGGCGAGTTTAAACGTTATACATTGCTTGTATGTCAAAAAATATGTTAAGAAGTTTCAGAAAATGTTAAAAAAATCTTGTTATTAAATAAATATACATATAAAACATTTCCTTTTATATAGCTATCAAGTACGCCCATATATTTATTAAAACATTCCCAACTCTCGGTATTACGTTATTTAGTGTAACATTTGGCGACATTAAATCTTCAACGTATGCACGGAACGTGAAACAAGAATTCCTTGCCTGAATATCTAACCTCATTCCATCTTAAATTATACCTGTTCATGCCATTTTGGACCTTTTCGTTGTTGTTATAAATATTACATTACATAAGAGTATTGTTACCTGTGATATGTACCCTATAATTGCGCAGTTAAAACAACATACAATTGTATATTATTACGTCACAATATGGTACTCATCAAAGATTCCATTCCTTACGGGTAAAGTATTTTGGCTCTATTTTCTGAGTAGTTCTTTTCATGTATTTAGAATGCACACACTTTATAAAAGCGTAAAATGTCGCCTATATACATGAACAGCATTATGGATAATACTAAGACTAACTAAGCTTGAGGGTGACACAGCTGAAATCGAGTCACAATGCGAGCTTCAAAGCGTTTATGGCCCGAGTCCCCACCAACATACTGCCCACCTTCATAAAGGAGGACTACTGGCCAAAGGGAGTGGTGTATTGGCGCTACCGTGGCAGATTACCGTCGTCAGTGCCGTGACCATAGAGACAATTTGAATTTATATTTCTTATATATGCTATAAGGTATATATAATATGGGCCAGGTACCCTAACGTTATCGATTTTGCGTGATACCACTCATGCGTTAATATCCCGCAGGACTAAGATATTATGACTGCAAATTCTGTAGTTTCACTGCCTTATCTCCCACTTCAGCTGGTACACAGCTTACAAAGCAAGCTGTTGGGCGGCTGATCTAAGTGAGACTGAAGTACCTACACAGAGGAAGCTACTTGACCATTAAATGAAATCAGTCGTAAAGAAACATTTTTTTATATCAAAAATTAATGCAACTACCTTACAAAGTAGTATTCTTCTTATAAATAAAAATTTAATAAACTTTTTTCACCGTATTTGTTAAGGAACTCCTCCGAAACGGCTTGCCATATTTTAGTAAAATTATTTGGGTATATTTTGTAGGTCTTAGGCTATTTTTAATATCTCTAGAAATAAGCGTAGACCAATTCAGAAACAATTTATATGACAAAACAACGTTTGTCAGATCAGCTTCAGATTCATGTTAGACTGAATAAAAATGGTATCTATATATAAAAGAAAATACTATCAGTCTGACCGTGACACTCAAAGAAATCTTCTATAATACGAGTTAAATGTAAAATAGAGTTCGCAATGACGGTTTCTATTCCCTTGAGCGCACTATAACCACAGAGTGTTAAATATACAGAGTGAAAGCTTTCAATAGTGCTCATTCTCGAAATTTGCAAAACTAAAATACCTACATATCCTCACGACTGTAATACCAGATAGGATAAACGGAGGCATTGTCTACTATTGACGTTGTAGTAAACACAACATTTATATGCCAACATTTTTTAAGATATTTGAATTATTGGTTGTAAAAATAATCTCATGCTCACTTTTTGCCCAAAATATTTGCATAGTTGTAACCGTTGTGCAGAACAAGTAAGTAACACTATAATTATTTATATATGTATTTATAACGTCATACAAGCACACGGTCCTCCTGGTGATAAATGGCAATGGATCACAAACAACACGAATCTTTATCGTCTTCTTTTGATGGTCTGATACGTTGGTATTCTGAACGATTAATCGTAAGTTGTCCATGTTTCCTGTAACTCCATGTACCTTTAAAACGGACACGTAGCTTACAAAGCAAGCAACATAGTAGTTGAAATAGGTGAAACAGAGTTACCTATGTAAACGTCTTCGAACAAAATGTACTTCGGTAGTTTCCACAATACTGTTAATACCGCCTTCTAAGCACTTTGAGTAGTACTACATTAAAAGTATTATTCGTGTTTGAGATAACTAAAATTGCTTCCCAAATTGAACTAGTGCGCAAGTTTACACTCTGTATTATGTGGTACTCTGTGTTCAAACTAGCGAATCAAATCAGACATGCGTCTCTTTCAAACAAGCACTCTCGTTACCCACATTTCCTCTGATCCCATTGCGTAATGTGAACAACGCATTATCGAGTCTTGTTTGCTTTTGTAAAGAAAATTGGGGATCTACTTTCATCCCTTTGATGTGAAATTGGTTTTAAATAAGTCCTTGTATTGAGAATCTAATAGGATGTTTCAACTTTTTGTTGCTTATTTTTTATACGTCTTATTTGTAAATTCGACAAACGAGCTAACTTTGTTTTTTAACTCCAAAAATACTATTTATTTATATTCATAATAATAATGATATTCATAATATATTGTTGTAATTTTTGATATTTATATTTTGATTTGATATGTATATTTTGATAGAATACAAATTTATTTAAGTAATTTTCAAGTCATTCCATATAGTTATGTTTGTTTTTATGTTTAAAAAAAAAGGTAATTGTTTCTCAATTTGCTATAATATTTGACAAAAAATAAAAATGGCAGAGAAAGAAACGGTCCACCTGACAAAAGGAAGTGACGTACCCAATAGGCATGAAGTAATCGGCTACTCGGCAGGTTGGCAAAGCTTGCAACAGGAAGGAAGTGGAAGGGATTTATTTTGTGGTGGACCACGGCCCCGTGACTACCGTGGGCGTGGTCCCACCCCACTTAACTAGATCCGAGGAAGTCGCGCAATTATCTTAGGGAAGAAGAGGAAAGAAGTGAGTTCCATAGAGAATTCGCAAAGATGAACATGCATTAGTTTCACAGTATTTGCTCACGAGTTTTACAGTAATCTCCCCCGAGGCGGATCTGAAGGAATGAAGGATTTCTCCAAGTAAAAAAAGGAAGTAAAAATATTACATATTCAATACTTTCAAAGTTTTATAATATGTACAGTATTCCTGCAAGCTTTTCACATAGCTAATCATGGTTTAAGAACCCTATTAGCTGATACCCTGGGTAGGTACGTTTTTTGCAGCGTAAGGTACAAATGAGCTGCGGCACACTTAATAAAAAGACCAGGGGATTTGAAGGTGATTTGCCGACGTTACCTCCACATGGCTTTGAGCTGGTCGCAGGTAGGTTCGTCTGGTTTCCCGATCTCCCTGTCCCGGACCCTCGCCGGCCGTGGAGACAGGAGTGGTTCCTGGTCAATGCGCTGCGCGAATACCACGCACGCGCAGACCACCACACTCCACGCGCGCCAAATACACCACATGCTGAAACAATAGAAACCATTTCAATTTTATATGCAGTTGCTAATATGTAGTACTATTTACGACCACAGTGGTCTAGCGGTTTAGCACACTGCTTTACTTCCGATAGGTTCTATTCCTCGCACGGTAGAAACATTTGTATTCATGTGTATGGTTGTTTGTATCGGTCTGGGTGTTTTCTATGCATATTATGTTTGTATTTACAAAAAAAATGTATTCATGTGATTATATCAGTCATCTAGTACCCATAACTAAGAAACCAAAATTAAAGTTATTATCAAATAGGTACCTGTTGAGTATTCAGAGCCTAATAAATAAATATTGTCTGTAGTTTTGGGTTACGCTCTCTCAACTCATTGTGTTCAAATACAAACACATATCGAGTGTAGTCGAGTAATAAAATTATAATTATAAAATAACGCAGTGCTGATTTATTTTAAAAACCCACGGAATGATAAAATCACGAACATAGCTATTCATTCATTCGTAATTTAAGAGCGACGCTCTTATTCCTGGAGCATTATTTCCTTTTTCTTTCGTCACTCCCTTTTGTTCTATATTACAGAACAAATAAAATATTTAAATTAAGTATAGTTAGTCTAGGTAGTAAACATTCAAAACATCTTAAATTTCAAATTTGAACGACACCACGAAAAATTTACTGTATTAATTCAATGATAAAAATCTTGGTGAAAGTTATCCACACATTAAAAAGAGCTACTTTTAATCTTATTAATATTATAAACACGAATGTTTGTTAGTGTGGATGTTTGTTACGCTATCACGCCAAAATTTTTGGAAGTAGGTACAATAATATAAACGGATATTGATAAAGTACAATATAACTAGTATATAATACAGCTATATAGTAGTTTATTGTATACTAGCTATATAGTATAACAACGCATAGGTTATAAATTTCACGTAGATGAAGCTGTGGACACAGCTAATAAATAAATTAACTATTCTAACGCTATATTAGTAGTTTATGCATTCCAGCTTACATAGCTGGAATTCCAGCAATAAAGCGACGATCTAAAAGCTATGTGAGCGATGAAGGCGTATCGGTTAACAATATTTGAACACGCCCACTGTTTGAGCTGTGAAGTGACCCTTACTACAACAAATGAGGCCACTGCTTTTGTAAGAGACGAGACGCTTCATTACGAGTCTATGACGCAATTGCTAACAATTCCTAATTGCAACAAATTATAATTATACGCCACAACATGTAAGAAACTAGATAATATTTGAGAAAATTTAACAACAATAATAGTAAAACTTTTGTGACGAGACTTAGTACATGAGACGTTTCGAATGTGTGGTACAATAAAAAAATATGACTTTACAAATATCCTCTTATTAATAAATATCTTTCCATTATTTTTGTACACATATTTGAAGCTGTGTTAATAATACTAAAAAAACTAATAATAATAAGCCAATAATATACTACCTACTTAATTATGGAATACAAAACTATGTTTTCCTATACCATAATACAGATTATTTTTATTTCTATGACTTTGCATACATATTTCTAACTATTTTTAGCACCTAATAATAATGTGCCTATAATAACATGCCACCTACTTAATAATAGATATAGAATAGAATACAAAACTATAATTCTCCTAAACTATTATTGTCTTTTGCGAGTAACATATGCCATTGTGGTCAGACGTGGGAGGTGTCCATGAAATACAAATCGTATTATCGGAGAACTTATATCGTAAATCAATTTGTATACGTAATACACTACTACGTACGTATAATACGTATAATCTATTTACACATAAGATAAACATATAATACTTTATCTATAAAATAGAATATAAAATCCTACACCAAATAAACTTAATTTAAGTACTTTTGAATAGTCATCAGATTTTTTTTATTCTACTGTTCATTCGGAAAGGTTAATTTGTGCCTATGTGCTTTATAATTTTACTGCCATATCTCACACTTAGCTTACAAAGCAATTTAGCAACAGAAATATGTGTGTGTGATATAGAAAACCTCGGGGACGACATTGTACAAAGACTTACCTAAAAATAAACAAAATGTTAAATTACTCGTATGTATATATTTAACACAATAGAAAGGGGTTTCAGCTTGTTTCTTCCATTTATACATCCGGTTTCAATACAACTGACACAGCAGTAAAGCATCTTACCACCGAGAAACACAATTTCACTCTCAAAGGATGCTTTGAAGTAAGACTCCATTGAAACATCGCGTATACAATTCAATTGAGAATGCAAGCGGATATAAGTGGTTTTATCCGGTTTTATCCACTTTCATCCGGTTTTATCCGGTTTTAAAGTTATATCCGGGCGGGCGAAATCGCCGCTTCCGAATGCGCCGCCATTGGAAAATAAATCAGCTAATTTAAATTCCCTTTCATACTTGTGGACTACGGCGCAGATATTAAAGTTACTTTGAACAGACTGATATCCTTTAAGTATAATTCAGCTGTCTTCAATATTGCAATGTTCAATGTGGTATAAATATTAAAATTAGAATATTTTACTTTCCATATAGCATTTTGATGGATTTTTTTTTATTAGTTGGTAGACAATAATTATTTAACTCTGGTCCACTCACACATCGCCATCTAGACACGAGCTAAGCAGAGCTTGTGTTATGGGTACTAGACAACTAATAGAAATACTTAATACATTTTTTTGTAAATGCATAACATACATTGTCTATATATATATATGAATGGAGAATTACAGAAAGAGCATGAGGTCAGGTTAGTTAGCCCATAATGAAAAATTCACCAGGAATTTATCGTGATGTGTACAGGTGAACCGCGTGGCAACCTCACATGGTACATCTTCCCCCTGTCTATGTATATTATACATAGAAAACACCTAGACCGCAAATAAGCGACGTTTGCCATTTCCTAACAGGTGGGCAGTTTGCTTTCCCAGTTCAAGCAAATAAAAAAATAACAAAATCGTCGTTAGCCACATGTTACTCGCATCTAAACAATAATATACAGATACAAGTAAATATTTGTACTTACTAAGCGTTTCCACCTAGTAGTTTACCGAAATATGTTATTACATTATTGTTAAAGTATTTGATATTAACACTAATAATAATCCATAATAATTATTTGAAAAGAACTAAATGTATAATATTAGTAGAGATCATAACTATAGAGTTTTATCGCAATAAAACACTCCTTTGTTTATACAATAAAATTCACTCTAAAAATTATTTCTCTGATGTATATGTATATACACTGCTTTAGTACTATGAATGAATTTGATATAATATTTTATTATATCCATCTTAAAGTCGTGTTCTTGGAAAAATCTTGTTTTTCCTTCACGATATCTATTGGTTGTCGATAAAAATAATATAATAAGGTTTGAGTTCTTATAAGGTTATTGTAGATTTTGTAAAAAAGAATGCGTAATTATATTTATTTATATCAACTTTACTCACGCTTTCATCTTATAAAAAGTTCAAACGTCTAGTATTTTCTACTTAGTTTGACTTTTACACAGTCGTCTGCGTGGGTAGATAGAGGTACTACCTATTATTTCCTCTAGTTCTAATACAATAGAATAGAAAATCCTTTATTCATATGAACTTCTTTTAAGCACTTTTATATAGTCTTAGTTATTTTTTTTTAATCTACCGCTCATTCGAAATGATGTTTCATCATAAAAAGAACGAACAAGGAACTTGCGTGTTGCTGTTTTAAATAAATATTGCTCAGAATTAAATTAATTAAGAATTTTGTGAGAATACAAACTAACAATTGAGTTGAGACAATAAATAAATAGTTACTTGAGTAACAAAGTAAATCAGTTACATTTATCAGAACGGACCAGTCTCTACAAGTACCACCCGTTTACGAGTATAACGTATACATTGTGTCACTAAGACGGACATTTTTTTATTGCGAACGAAGTAAACGAAGTCGCGGTAATAGCTAGTGTTGTTGTACTGATACGAAATAAACACAACTGTACAAATAACGAAGTTGAAATCAATATCGTCTCCAAAGTTTTTGTGTATACTGTGATAGTTTCGAACTCCATTAGAGTCGAGTTTATTCTGTACGATATTTACAATTGATTATTATTTTGCGTTTAATTAATACTTATTAATATTAGTAATATTATAACGCGAACGTTTGTGAGCATGAATGGATGGATGAATGTTTTTAACTCTTTCGCGCAAAAACTACTGAACGGTTTTAGATAAAACTTTACAGTTATATAGTTATCAGAATAACATGTAGGCTAAACTAACATATAGTTTAAATTGTATGCAAAATAAAATTATTATTTTTATTATTATTTATAAAGCTATTATGTAAACTGAGCGAAATGTAATGAAAAATGTCAAGTAAGTGTAAAACAGACCAAGCTCCGCTCGGATCCGCTAATACAAATATAATTATAAAATGTATATGCTTAGCCTTTGTCTGTCTTTTTAGATAAAAGATAAATGTGAAATTAATTAAACATGACATGACAACTTTGTCCTCTGCAATGGCAACGCATGAGTAGTATCGCGAATGTCATGTATAACGTTATGTTAGTAGTGCTGTTAATGTCGATAAGCGACTGTTACCATCTACCATCAGTTGGGCGATTAGCTTATATACCATTTTGAATATTGGTTGCATAAAACAAAACTGATAGACACATTTTTCATTTAATATATTAGTGTGAATTTGTATGGTTTTACCTTTCAATCGGCCAGCGCCGTGTGTTACAATTAGTTTTAATATTATTTTAATAAATAAGCTTAATATAGGCACTTTTGAATGGTCATATATTTATGTTTCTAACACTTATTCGGAAAACTGACTCATCAGATGTAGAATAAGCGAGAAACTTGCGTGCGGTTCTTTTAAATATACGTTACTTGAACAGTTTGTTATTAAAATTTAAAAGCACTCCAATTAGTGTCCTTTCCACCAAGAAATGGAAACAACAAATTAGAGTGCCTTTCACAACACTGTCACTTGG